AGGAGTGCACTCATATAAAAGGTGTTGCTTTAAGAACACAACAAATGCAGTTTACCTTTACTAAAGCAGTACTCCAAATGCGCAGAAAACACAAAGAGAAGGCGGTCCACAAATTTGTATCTTGCACTTGTATATGGATATTACTGAATAACAAAGTCATTCAAGAAAATGCTTCGGTTTTGCAGCAGACAAAATAACATCTTTGTTAATGGTACGTAGATATAATTCCTATCCACAAAACCTGATCAAGTTACGCTAATGTAAGCATTGCCTGGTGATAAATTTTGAAGATTTGGCTATCTGTAATGTAGAGCATGTTAGATACTTAATCTGAGTTGTAATACCGTTTAATCGTTATTTCTGAGAGCTATTCTATTTCTCATTGCTGTAACGTGAGGATACAGATATTTTCTTTTCCTATTGTGTATTTTCCTTTTATATGCACTCTCTCAAAAGCAAAAAAGCAATTTCAGTTTCTGCTTTTCTGGTGTAATGGCTTCTTGCCAGAAAAAAAATCTTTTTTGTGGTATAAGACAGAGAGATCCTTTTGTCCATTCCTGTTACAGTTGCACTTAGCTTAGTAGTATTAATAAATTCAGAGATAAGAATTTTTGCAAACTAGGTAGTAACGCATAAATATTGCACATTTTTGCATTGATTAAAAAATCAATCTCTCTGGAGCCTCAGAAGTCACTGCTGTGAGTTCTTGGGTATTGACAGCCTTTTAATTTGCTGTCCTAGAAGAACAAGTACTGGTCAGCTACAGTAACTTTAGATTTTATGCACTGTTCTGGAATTTGTGTCAGGTAATGTATATATTCTGGATATCAAAATAAATAAAACTTAAAAGCTAAACAGTATTGTGAAATGTTGCTGCGTTGCCCTCTCTTAGCTTGTCTTGTCCATCAGACTTCTGGCTTGAGTTGCGGAACTAGAAATTGGCGTAATTTTTAGCTTGGTACGAAGGCATACTGCTCTCAGCTTTTCTCTGCTTTCAGGACAGTGACAACAAATACTTACTAAGGATGAAATAAAAAGTGTTAATGAGGAAATACTTTGTCTTACCAGTTATTCTGTGATCAGGCTATTTCTATTGCATTTACAAGAATGAACACAATAACATTTTACACTGTTCCTTTCTATAATCAGTCAGTACTGCTCACCACAAGTTTTCCAGCAATTTACAGTAAAACTTAAAAGGGGAAAAAAAAAAACAAAAAAACCAAACCACCAAACAAACTCAAGATTTTAAAATCTCCTAGTTGGGGTTCTGTTGACATTTGAGATAAATTAAACATCTCATGTTTCTCAGATGTGTAGTGACACTTTATTTCTGTCTGATCATTTGCTTGCTACACTTTGAACCCTGCTAAATACATGTTTGTCTTAGAAACTGAACCATTATGTTAAAAGCTGAGCTACAACTTGATAAGCAATAATATGAATTAGTTTCTGATCTACAGTTTTGTTTACTTGCAATGTACAAAACAATGTTTGCATTAAGACTTGGATCATAAAAAGCTTCTTTCCTTATAAACATTGTTTTTAACACTCAATAGATTCAAGAATTCATAACTTTTTCGCATGAGAGTTTGTTCTGTTTATGTGTGATTGTAGAAGTGGCTGTACTGGGACCCACAGAAATATAACTGCGATATATGAAAGAGAACTTCTGCTACAGGAAAGCAAGAATATATGTAAAATAGGTGAATGCTTCAGTCTTGTGAGGTTTTTTGGGTGATTTTCTGTGGTTAGGCAAGGTCAGTTAGCGTGTATGTGAGGAAAAATAGATTGTATATCAACTGGACTCAATTCTCAGTAGTTGATGTGAAATTCTGATCTTTTAAACAGTTGCTATTTAAATGATAGAGAAGGCCTTGCTGATGTCCACTTCTCAAGCCCTGTTCACTGAAACGAAATACATGGAATGGAGACTCTCTTAAGGACTTCTATTCTTGATTGTGCCAAACATTTCTTTTAACAAATTCAGTCTCCTTGGTGACATGAAACCAACTGTTCTTTGCAAGTCAATACCATAGACTCCTCTTGGAAGTGGCCAAGGTATAGCCATGAATGATAATGACTATTTGTTAGAGAATTTTTCCTAAGATTGAGAATAAAGATAGACTGCCATTGTCGGGGAAGACTGATTGCTTAAACAATAAAGCAGAGATACTGCTACCTTTCTATCTTGGATTATAGTTCCAGGAGATGCAGCAAATACCTTGCTTAAATGTTCAGTTCCCTGCCCTAGACTGTTGTTTTTTTTTTTTTCCTGGCTCTCTGTTGCTGCTGTGTGCCTCATGACTGGTGTTTGTCATATTCTTCTTCCTGAGCTAATCTAACTTAATAACCCCCTGAATCAAACAAAAACAACAGAAAAATGGGTAGACTTCTGACAGTTGTCAGTGAGCTAAAATCAGATCATTAAGAGGGTTAGATGAGGAAGGGATGAAGTGAGACCTCCCCTTTTTAGCAAGAGTGAGCTATTATTTCTTTAGCAAGCAGTTAATTTCATAGTATTACATGAAACTACTTAGAGATGAAACTGAGTTTTTTTAATCACTAATAGTGATAGGAAGTTCATTCTACTAGTCTCAGTAGTCACTCAATGACAGTCTGTTCTTTCTGTCTTCGTCGACCACGTTGTAGAAAAGCTGCAGGAGAAAATTATCTAGCATGTTACCTAGCATAGTAATTCTGTGGATAATTTCAATACAGTTTTAAATCTGTGTTGGAAAACCCTCATCTTCCTTTTGAAGTCTCGTGGAGAGGAAGGATTTATTTTTCTAAATCTAAATGTGAGTAGGTAATGTGTGTTAGACTTGAGAGGCCTGAGATGAAGAATACTTCTGTAGCTGCTCTAAGTCTGTAAAAGTAGTTTTAGATTTCCTGCATGTTGACAATTATATTTGTACTGTTAGATGCTACAAAAGTAGCTTCCTTTTGAATGAATGCCGTATACCCTGTGTTACTGTAAGGAAGACTTCGAAGGCTCAGAGCAGATATAATTGATTACTTACATAGATAATGAAAGCAGTATCAGAAGGAAGAACTCTTGTAGTGCTCTATGGTTTTGTTTAGAGGCATCAAGAAAAATCCTAAACCTTGTTCAAAGGCTAATAAAAATAGGTTAGCAAATATACAAGAAATTCACTGTAGATTTTTTTGTAGAAATATCCTAAAATAGATTTTTATTTTTTTTTTAAATTTAAGCCCCAGTGTGGGTTCAGTGTTTTGTCTTTTGTTTGTTTGCAGTAGCTCTTTGTTCTTCCAAATATTACCATTAACTTAAGAAGCATGCAATTGTTTGGATATATTGGAAATGAGCTTGTAGCAGTCTTTTGGGTGGGAGGCAGGAGAGGGCAAAATGAGGAAGGGTTGCACTTAAGTTTCCTTGTGAACACCTTCATGTTTTCTCCTCATCTTTCTGTTAAAGCTCAGATGTTCAGAGAAATGTTCAGACTTCATTTTAGTCATTTAGATCTTTGACTAAAGATCACATAGATCACGTTGTATTCTTAGTCTGAAAGACGTGCAGTCATTCAAAATTCACTCACCTCAGTATTTTAATGCATTAGACAGAATGTTCAGCAAGTGATGCTATGTGTTCTTTGTTTATCCTCATATTTCTTCTTTCTTTCTTTCCCATTTGACTGCAGCAGCATCATCTTACTGTGTGCGTCTTCCTTTCCTTGTATTCTGTCCTGAATTCCCCACTCTCATCTAGTAAGATTCCTTCACTTCACAGACTTCATAGTGTTCTTTTTTGGTTTTCTGATGTCAGGAGTATGAACAACCACAAAAAACTCTAAAATATTTGTTTTTTTCTTGACTGAAACTTTGTGAAACCTGTGGAAAGTAGTTGATGGGTAACTCTTTACACTTAATATATTGCATGAATGTGTAAACTTGGTTAAGACTTGCTTTTCACATATGAAAATATATTATTTGGAATTTAGTGTTTATTTTTTGGCTGTAATCTCTGTGGAAGTAATAGTTGTTAGCTGGCAAGTCATCTGCTTTTCATGGACGAGAAGTGTGTTCAGGACAAGGTCATGTTGCTACGTTCATTGTGTTTTTGCAGAGCAAACTTTACTTCAGCCGCTTTAAATACAGGCACCTACAAGCTTCATTAAGCTGTTTAGAGAAGTATATGTTTTAACTATAGATGAGTGATAGGTATTGTAGTTTTACTTAGTCAGAAGCTAGTGGGAGAGTCTCAGGAACTTTGAATACCTGGTATGATCTATCACAGGTGAAAGTCTTGCTTGCTTCGGTTTTAACTTCTAAAGGTCAGTGGCAGTGCTTTTCAAGAAAGGTTTCTACAAGCTTGTGATTTTTATGTTGCAGGAGAGTTTAGTACTTGTTTCACAGAAAATAGATTCACTGGTGGTGTACTTTCATTGTATAGGAAGAAAACTGGATTTCCTCCAAATTTGTTTTCTCTAAACTCATTCTTGAACTCTCTCCCATTAGATCTTTAGATAATGTCTTTAAGGTGACTCAGCCATTTTTAAAATATACAGCTGTAAAGGAAGAGTTACATGTAGTACACTCTACATAACTGTATATAAGGATGCAAAAAAAAAAATCTTAAAAATCAGAAAGTTATCTCCATTTTCAATAGAGTATCAGTTGTATTAAATAAGCAGTCTTCAGAGAATGAAGAATTTGTCTCTGTAGCTTATCTGAGTAATTAAGCATTACTTGAGTCTAGGCTTTGGGGTTTAAAAATTGCATGCTTCAAAACTTACTTTACAGTATTTAAATAATCATATGTTCAAGTTAATAAGCTATTAAGCATAGGTTTTATAACTAGACTGTTAGTAGTATAAGAGTTGGCTCAATTCTGTTGACTCATGAAGGCATTTGTGTAAAGCTTGTTACAGTAATTGGAGTAATTGGTCAATGACGTTCCACATCTATTTAGATGTTTTTAAAAAATTGATTTTAAAAGACCTTATGTTTTTTATATTTATTTACCTTTTTCATTCTTCTCCCTTAGTCTCAGACTATGAACTACGTAGGACAACTTGCAGGACAAGTCCTGGTTACTGTGAAGGAGCTGTACAAAGGCATTAATCAGGCAACCCTTTCAGGATGCATTGATGTCATTGTGGTCCGGCAGCAAGATGGTACATACCAGTGTTCTCCTTTTCATGTCCGATTTGGGAAGCTTGGTGTATTGCGCTCTAAAGAAAAAGTGGTAAGTTCAGAAAGTGGGCAAAACAAAGTTTTGAATACCAGTGCATTCCCTTTTTTCACCCCTCTTCCTTCCCCAGCCCCCCACATACCAAGTTAGCAGGCCAATTTAGTACAGAGCAGTTTCTCATGTATGTTTTAGAGAGTGATAGTTTGGAAATGCAAAACAGAACTTCCTGTGGTAATCTAAGGACTCTGCAAAAAAATACTGTGAGAGGAAAGCTTTGACAGCTCTTGAGCTGTAAAAGAAGAATAATATAGACATATGGACTTCAGTCTTAAAATGTTTACATGGCTATTTACTCTTAAGTATGCTGGGAAAGAAATGCTTAATGCCATTCAACTGATCCCTGATGTTGCAAGCAACTATTTTTGGAATGTCTGGAGGATGAATAGAGCATATCTTAAGGGTTGGTGACCTATTGTAAATATTACTCCTTGTTAGCTGTGTTCAAGGTTGATATGCGGTAGTAAATGCAGTTATTAATATCCACAAGCAAATAAAAACTGGGACTGATGTTTTATTCACTTATGGGCGAATTTGAAAGAGAACCTGGTACAACTCACTATCCAACCAGTCTGAGACTGTGGTGCTACCAGAGTGGATTGTCCTGCCACCACCTTTCCATAGGCTTTAGTAATCATGCCTAGGGAGCGAGTCGGATTAGGTTGTAAATTTGACTAAAACATGGACTTACTGTGGAGAGACTTTACATTACTTTCAGTAGGGAGTACTCTATATGGCAGTATTGCCTGTGGGAATGCTGCCAAAGGGTGGATTGATTTAAACAGATCATAAAACCTTGGGATTATATGCTGTTTTTCTAAGAAGTGAAAGGACGCTGCAGGAAACTACCTCCATTTTTATATTTTGGTTGTAAAAGGAGAATAAAGTGCAACTAAAAGAGCAGTTATGTTAGGGCATTTTTTTGTTAATGGTCAAACTGGGAGTTACGTGCTTTAAAGTTGTAGGTTTGTCGTAGTGACACAGGCTAGCAGCAGTTTTCTTGTTCCATTTTTTTGGTTTTGATTTCCCACTTGCTAGTGGTTTTCTTAATGAGCACACTGATGACAGAAAGTTGATTTTCCTAAACAGTTCTGCAACAGGTTTTCAGCAAGGTACAAGAGAGGTGATACAGCTGTACTTTTTCTAATGTCTGAGCAAGTGAGAACTTGGAACAGGAGCGGTCTGAAACTTGAGCTTGCTTAATGTCTTTAATTACAATTCTGAGAAGTTGAACAAAATCTGAGAGAATTTCAGCTTCTAGTTACCTCTAGAAAGCTGTTGAATAGTAGAAACATCTACTCTTGGTACCCGCTTTACTAGGCTGTCAGCGTAGTTCTCAGTGTTCGCCTGAGTGCATGGCTGCTGCTTCTTGCTCCCTTCATCCTTGGAGTTGCCATTCTGCATTTGGCTATTCTCTCAGTAGTCAACTGAATGTTTGTTGCTGTGTTGTGTATGCATTTTTCTTTGCCATGTTATGAGGCTAAGACCAATTAGTAGTCTCAAGATTGGCATTTTCTACAGTAAGGCAAGTCCATTGTGTTTCGACTTGACAAGTATTAAATTATTTTTAATTAGCTAAGCTAAATGCAGAGATACTTACACTATTAGATGAGCAAATTCACTGAAAAATAAGGTAATTTTACCTGAATATTTGAACACATTTTCTCTGGAAATATTTGGGGTGGAACTTAACTGGAAGCCCAAGATTTCACAAAGCGGAGGAAGTAAAGTAGTTATATCTTGGTTTTAGAAAGACATTTGGCTTTTCATTTTATTGTGTATATGTGGGGGAGGGTAATCTCTCCCTCCTGTGCAATGCAATCTCAGTTAAAGTACCTTTTTATAAGAATAAAAACATTCTTCCTCTGACAAAAGCACTATGGTCACAGAAGGATTGTGGTCGTGTGTCATATCCCCATAAACCTACGAACAGGAAAATCTGAAACAACGTTACCTGAGTTGCAGAAATAATTGTGGCAAATCTCTATCCCACTGAAGCAAAGTCTGCCTTCAGGAAGCTTCCAGTTTGTTGTCTTGAACTTTTGGTACTCGGAACTCAGATTCTTACTAGAGCTCCATTCAGGTTGAACCTTAAACGTATGAACACGAACTGTCTCAATCATTCAACATTCTTCCAGGAAGTAAAGACTAGATCAATTATTATTATTTATGCTTGTAGCTCTCCAAATTAGTTGAACGAGATTCAGTCTTCAGGTAGTTTGGTGTTTTCTCTTTCCAGTCTTGTAGGTGTTAGGTGCTCTGCTAGGAGCATGGTGTATTTTGCAGGTTAACAAAATAAAGATCGTTGTTAAGCAGACTTCCTTCAAAAAACAGAGGGAGCAGAGAGAGACATGATTATACAATGGAGCAAAATTTACTCTGAGTGAAGTGGGCCTTGAGGTCCGTGCTTTCCCCTACGATGAATTATTTACATTAAATTGTCTTTTTCCACAGATTGATATAGAAATTAATGGTGATGCTGTTGATCTTCATATGAAACTGGGTGACAATGGAGAAGCTTTCTTTGTGCAAGAAACCGAGGAAGAAAATGTAAGAGCTTTGTGCTTCATGATGGCTAGAATGCAGTATTAACAGAGTAATGTGTAAAAAATGCTTAATATAGTATTGGCAATATTGTAACTTTAATGAAAGCTGGATTTTCTGTGACTGAATCTTAACATCACTTTCATATGCTGCCAAGATGCTTGGTGTTTTGTACAGTTCTGCTACAAGTGATATCAAATATCACAGTAAAAGTAAACACTGTAAAGTGACTAACACTTTTTTTTAATTAGAGAATTATTTGAAAGATTTGTTGGGGTTTTTTTTACGTTGTTTTTGAATATTCATTCTTGTTGACTGTAGTTATACATACTGCAGTGCCTTATAATTTTTGCCTTAAATTCTTACAGCTTGTGTTACTGACCTCAATACTAGTGAAGGTTGTCTATTTTAGCATATTTTTAATTTGTCTTACAATTTTTAGCATGGTTTTTCACAATTTTGTCTATGAAACTTTCACCAGTTAACAGTAACTTCAACTTGAGATTTCTTCTTTTATTCTAATACAGTAATTAATCTCCCAAGAACGTATTGCAGCTGGAAGCTAATAAGCCTCTGAAAAACAGGAATAATGGTTCATTTTTAGTGTGATTTCCTAAGGATATGGGACCTATGTAATCACAATATTTGTCAGTCCTGAGCTTTTGTTTGATCACTTTTGAATCTGTTGGTATTTTTCAGCAAGACAGAAGGAAAGAAGATCTAACCAAAAAAGTTTCAAGATGTTTAATGAAAACAGTCAGAGGAGAGAAAAAAAGATTTGTGTCTCTGTGAAGCTGAAGTGTTAATTTTCTGTTGCTATTAGGAATCAGGAGTCTTTCAAGGAAATGAGGTTGATCCACTTTCTAGTTTAGGGCACTACTTCTTTACTGTGGAGGGTTGGAGGACACTCTCATTTTTAAAGGAGTTAAATACAATTTAAAGTGGAAGGAGAAAATAAGCATTAAGACCCTGAGTGGTAAGTTGGGGTAGGGATTCATAACACTTAAGGGAAAGGAAGATTGGGTTCTGTTTTAGCATACACCATGATTAAAATCAAAACCGAAAGCAGTTTTTTATAGTTGTAGTCTGTGTCAGTCATTGGTGGGAACTGATCACTCTTAAGGCTTTCAGGAGGTGAGGGTGTTAACCACTACCTTTGTCCCCAGTACAGTGTTTTAAAGAAGCTATTGCCCTTGCTTAGTATATTTTAATCTAGAACAAGAGTGCCTTATCTGTGTATGATCTGTGTTCTGGAAAACTGGTGTTTCATGCTGAAACTGTAGATGGAGTTAGTCACAAAGCAGAGGACTGAGCTATTTTTAGTGCTTTTATACATTTTCTTTTTTTTTTCCTCTCAGTATTTCTAGTACTGATCAACATGTCTGTGGTCACCTCTCAAAAGCTATGTTTAAGGTATAAACGATGAACCTCTCATGGAGTTCTTGATGCATTCAGAAAGGTTCTTCCAAGTGGTCAGTCTTTGCTGTTTGCATATCTTGACATTTAAAAGCAACACCACGTGCCTCAATTCATGTAAATCAGGAAGTTCAGACATCTTTAGCCAGTTTTCTTTTAACTTTTCTGTTTTTTTTTTTAATTTGGTCTTGTTATTCTGGATTATTTATTGCTAGTTGTATAGGACATTTGCTTTATTTTAGGTGCTACCGTTTTGTTTGGAGATTTTTCACAGTGCAAAATCTGTGAGTTACTAGTGCTGTCTGTATATGGCTGTATTTTGTTCTCCTTTCTCCACTTTTCCCTAGTTTATAACCAGTGGAACAAAACTTGGTCGGTAACTCTTAACTCCATGGAAAAATTGATTTTCATATTCAATAATAGCTGGCAGTGTGCCTTGGCAACAACGGAGGCACATATGTCCTAGGCTGCATCAGCAGGAGTACAGCCAGCAGATAGAGGCATGTGGGATTCTCCTACGCAACTTCCAGTCTCTCTAGTTCAGGGGAGTTATAGAAAATTGGAGGGAGTCCAGCGGAGAGCCACTAAGATCATCAGAGGTTTGGAGAAGTTGACATAGGAGGAAAGATGGCTAAATACAGGCAATTCCAGCAAAGAGAAGGGAAGGTTCAGGGCGATCTGACCACAGTCTTGCAGTACCTACAAGGTAGTTGTAGAGCAGATGGAGGCACTCTCTTCACAAGGATGCCCAGTGGTAAGACAAGGGGGAAATTCCATCCAGATAGAAGAAACACCCTTCACCAAGAGAACAAGATAACAAAGGAGCAGGTTGCCTAGAGAAGTGGTAGACTCTCTGTTACTGGAAATACTCAACATTTGGCTTGACAGGGCCCTGGATAACCTAACCTAAGGCCCTACTTTCAACAGAAGATTGGATCAGATGATTTCCAGATGTCGTTTTGAACCTACACCTTTCTATGGATCTGTTTCAAAATAAATAGGCAGCAGTGGATTTAATTAGCCTATTTTTATTAACATGTTTACTAAGCATGGATAGAACTGGTGTGCTCAAGGGCAGATAATTTAAAAAAAAACAAACCAACATTCCACTGACTGTTTGTTTTGCTAGCAAAATCAGTTGTATATGTCTGAAAGTGTAAGAATACTAACATTCATTTTTGTGAACTTTTTGTAATCCTAGTGAACTTGGTTTCTTTCTGGATGTCAGCCTCATATCACTGGGCTATTGTATGGTTTCATGTCTAAATATAGATGCAAGGATTAACCTGTGGCTGATGACTGTCCTGTATGCACAAAACAAAGTAAAAAAATGAGGCTGTTCTTTGTTTTCTTTTTTCTTAGGAAAAAGTTCCTGCATATTTGGCAACATCTCCAATACCCACTGAAGACCAGTTTTTTAAAGACACTGACAATCATTTGAAATCAGGTGAAAATGAGAGGACGTGTGCAAACTCAGAAATTCCACACTCTGTGGAGACAGAGACTGTATTCACCCCTGGTTCTGTGAAAAAGAAAAAAAGAAGAAGAAAGAAATACAAACAAGAGAGCAGGAAGGAAGATCAGATCTCTTCTACTGGGACGGAAGAGATTTTTGAAATGGAAATAAGCTCAGATGATGAAAAAAGTGTTCAACCCCTAAGGTAAGCTATCAAATACTTGGTGACTGCTTTCAGTGTTATCACTGAACATTTAAAAGGTGACTTGTACTTTTTGTCTATGCCAGTAATGCATAAGTTTCAGTAGGCTATGGGTAGGCTTTTCCTCAAACAAACGAATCTCCAAACCGTGATCTTCCACATCTTTACAGAATACTTCGTTTGGCCATTTTGTTGTTAACATGAAATCCAATTAAGTCCATTTGGTGAAGATGTGTTGTCATGATCTGTTGTGTGACTGAGAAGTTGTTTGTGTAATTTCTCTGAGGCAGAGTGATCTTGTAGAGGTTACCAAACATACTACATAAACTGCAGTGTGGAGTGTCTGTAGTACACCACATCTAAATTTGACTTTTCTGTGACTTGAGGTTTACTTTGGTAACTGAAAGCTATGTAAATGAATGCTCCTTCACATTATTAAAGAGAATTCTTTACATATGTGTAGCCATAAAGCCGGGGCGGGGGGGGGGAAATCAGTCTTGTATTTTGAAGTGGATAAACTATTAGTAAGTTGGAGCTTGCAGTAAAGTGGTAGCACATACTACAGTAAAGAAGTTTATGTGAGTAATTGGAAAGATTATAGTAGTAGAAGAAAGCTATCACGCATATAAATGCTTAAAATCCAGGAGAGACCTACTCATCAGTTTTCGGTGGAAGTTTCTTAGGCTGATTAACAAAAGAAGTGGACTTAGTTTTTAGACAAAGCTAGCATCTTTGTTGGACAGCATTACTGTTAAATGTAGTACTGTCTGAATAAATTGAAGATTTGGTCTGGGAAATGGAAGAATGTTTTGGTATAAGAGAATGAAGTATAACTGAAAAAAATCCTTCAGTATGGGTTGGGTCTTCAAGGGAGTCTCAAATTTAATAAGTACCAGTCAGAAAGGTTAGTGCAACAGAAGAACATGAATCTTATCAAAGCTATGACCAATAAAACACAACCAACAAAATTTGGATTTTAAAGTGCTTTCTGGAATGTCTGTGTCTTTCTTGGTTCATTTGCCTTATTTTTTCACTGTCGTATTTATGTCAAGGAATTGTCATTTAGAAAATCACTGCTCTGTTGAAGTCTGGGAGTTGGCATTTTTTTTAGTTTGTGATGTTTCCTTTATTCCAGTTTAAGAAAAGCCAGATCTTTGTTCAGTCTTCAGTGTGAGAATATTAAGAAAATAATAACTTATCATAGTGAAACCATCAAAAATAAAAATAACAGTCAAGTACAGGAAGAAAGAAAATATAACCCGTGAATTGTTTATTTCATACATTATTATAAATGTATGAAGAATTTAGGAATGTCATGCCAATAATGGCTGTTTTCATCCAGTGTTCAGAATTCAAATTGCTGTTCTAGCAATTATCTTAATTTGACTAAAGCTGAATAAATGATTGTAGGTTTGACTGAAATGTCAAATGTTTAGTCATTGCTGAGCAGACCATGGTGTTTCCAGAAAGGTTACTTTGGTTTTATTTTCTGTACTCTTTAGAAAGGAAGATTGAAAGTGCTTTTTATTTGTAAGCCACTTCTTATATATATAAACAGAAATAGCAGTAGAAATGCATTCTCAGAGAAGAGCATTACGATGTGAAAGGAAGAAGATTTTGTAAAAGAATGCTATTTTCTTGTGACTAGCAAGTAAATGCAGGACTGAAAAATACATTGTAGTAATGGAAGCCCAGAGACAGTAGGTTCGTGCCTGTGTATCTTAGTGGAGTTCATACACAGTCCTTCCAGTGGGCTGCCAAGGCAGGAAACGCAATGCCTTGCAATAGGCATACACCATTTTCTTCCCAGCTAAAGATATGGTTGTGGAAAAAAGTTCACAAGCTTCTGTTTCACATCCTGTGGGAATGTAAGGTGGTATCAGCAACTTTGGTTTGGTTTTCATTTTTTTACTTATAAATATGTGACTAAAAAAAAAGGGAAATGTAACTATTATTAGACATAACTTCAGATTTCAAATTGAAACTGGGAAAGGAGAAGGGAGGCTGATGTTCATACAGGAAGGTCAAAAATTCAGCCACAGGTTCCAGTATATAATGTCTTATCTAGTTCTATTCTTATAAAGTGGAAAGCATGCTGTTTCCTGTTACTTGGGAAAAACAATTTCCAAGTGTTTATGCAACTTTTCTTAAAATATGTCCTTTGTTTTTTCTCACTATGATCTAGATATGTTAGTAAAATCTAAACATTTACATATTTTAATAGATAAGGTTGAAATATTTCCTTTTCGCAGTCCAGAAGAGAAATTTGCATTCCAGAAGTCCAGTGCAAATGTGCTGCTAATGGGAAAAAATAGTTTTTCTTTTTTCTTTCATAGTAATGGCTTAATTTATATTGCATTTTACACTCAGATTCCAGGCTTGTCTTCCTGTTATTCTGTTCACAGTATAGCCGTGATGCCCTTGATCTAACATCAAAACAAGTTAGTTGTATCCTGACAATAGCTAGGTATTCCATTAAATTCAGAAAGCTGTAAAAAGATCTCAAGTACTTATGATAAAAGGGACTTCTGTCAAATACAACGCATGTCTGCTGAATGGGTCTTACTGTTTGTTTAGGCTTTTGCACTTCCCAGTGCAAAACAAACACTCAAACCCCACTGTTCAGAAAAGTATACTACTTCTAGCTACTTGTTGTAGTCTGTGTTAATTTGTAAGCTCCTGGGTAAATTGTGAGGCTAATACCTACCCCTGTGTTCTTAGTGTTTTTAATTTGTGAAATATGCAGCCATAAAGTGCGTTGTCAAAACTACCTTTTCTATCAAACTTTTTCAGTGATTCTAAGGCTTACATAGAGAAGGTTATGTGTAAATCTCTGTGTTCATCTTTGGGTTTTGGTAGTATTAGCTGGCTGTAGAGAGTGATACCACTTATGTTATTGTGACTTTTTCAGTATTAACTTACTGTGTCTCAGGTGTAGTAGATTTTAAAATTCTTCCTGTATTAATATTTTTGTATACATTTTAAGTTATATAAAGGTGTGTTGTAAACAATGAATTCTTTACGCTACACACTTCTTTATATTGATTTTGGATTTTTAATAACATAAGTAACTTTTCTAACTGAATTATGCAGGTTTCTTAAATGCAGATTTCTTATAGCTGACTTATTTAATGTCTCGTGTATCTCCACAGAGGATCGTCAAATTCGTCACCAAAGGGTGAAGAGCAAAAAGAATCTTTGATTTATCACTCAAAGGATCATTACCCGTTATCTGATGGGGACTGGTCCCCTCTGGAGAAGTAAGTCACTTTGTAATGTCATAATATGTATAATGATGAATAATTATAAAAACATGAATGCTATGTGCCTTTTTATTAATTTCTCTCCCTGATCTGTAAAACTATCAAACAATGCCTAGCTTTTGTGGTGTCAGATGCATCATTTGATACTTGGAACTTTGGTAATTTTACTGTATGTATTAAACAAAATTTATGTCTTTTTTTCTTCTCTCAAATAAAAAAACTTTTAATAATAAAATTCACTGTTAAAGAAAGAAAATACAGTTAATAAGATTTCCTTAGGTTGAGAAGAGTATGGAAGATGAGTATGTTCCTTATGATTCATCCTAGCAGAAGCAACAATTGATACGCCATAAAGCAGAAGTGTTGAGTATATAAGTTAGAATTTGACAGGTGAAATAATGCAAATTACTGAAGGTAAAGCTGCATCCTAAACTTGAATCATATTCCTCTTCAGAGCAGAGGATTTGCTAATTACTGGAGTTCTGGTGTCTCTGGGTACCCGGAGATGCCAGAAACGGTATCAGTTGATTGTGGATTCTTACAAATGACATAATACAGCTCGCCAGTCGGTTTTCAGTTACAGTGACTCAGACACTTCTGTTTATACATTCGAGCTCTTCAGTTCTGATGTTCATGCTATTATATTCCTCTTGCATTCAGTTTCTAGATTTTTCAAGGCTCACTTTTTGGGCTTCACCACTCTAACATCTGTCTGTATTGGCAGAAGAAAACATTCTGTACATATGTGGTAGTACTTCAGGAAAATTTTGTACTTTTCCTGAGGATTAGGTGCAGGGAAGGGCATATTTATATAGCACATAGCATGCTGAACAGTATCTTGATTCGTCTTAAGTCTTGGAGTGTCTAGTTTTACTGCTTTTAAGTTTCACTGAGGACTCTACCTCGTAGCAGATGTATTCACAGTGTCAGTGAAGGTTGCTGGTCAGCCTTGCATGATGCCCGTTATTGCATGTTAGCTGCTCATTGCACAGGTGCCTGTTCTTCTGTATCAATAGATGGTAGTGCAGAATAGAAGAGGTTAAGCTTCAGGAAATGCTTTTTGAAGTGCATATAACCTCTCTGCTTCAGGTGTTTCCAGGGCTGTGGCCTCAGAGTCTGAACGCCCCACGCCATGCTTGGTGCCTGCTAATTCCCCTAGTGAATAGCTTGTTAGTGAACAGAAGCAGTTGGACAGGAAATCCCATTATCGTTCCTTTTTATGGTTTGGACTGACAACCACATCCTCAATTGTACTTAATGAGGTGTAGTCTTCAAATGTTCCCGAAAGTTTTGTGGTTTGTGACTGCAAAGCAGTCACAGTGTTTGACCCAGAGGATTGACATGGTGTCATATGGATTATATCATCTAGCTAATTGTAGCATAGAGACCTTCATCAATGTAGGCTGATGCTCCTTTTCAGGTTATAAAACTCTAGCTAACATAGTCTAGCAGGTTACATCTGGGAGACAATGGTTCATCCCTTTCAGTGCTATTTCCTCTCTTTACGTATTTAAGGGATAGTCTGCTCTAACAACTTGCCTGTGCATGGTGTGAGATGCCTAGTCTGTTGTGGCTGGTTTGTTTGTTTTTTAAACAAGAAGCTGTCCAGTACTGGATACAGTGTTAAGAGAGAAACTGGCGATTTTCCTTCTCCTCTTTAGGAGGGTTGTGTGTGTTCGGTGGGGGACTCTCTCTAGAAGAAGAGAAATATTGCATGAAATTATTTCTCCTAGGCCTCCAAGAAAAGATTCTGTAGTGTAGCCATTGTACAGTGAAAGAGAAACAGGAGGTTTTAATAACCTCCTTTTTGGCAATATAGAAAAGTTAACTGCCTTTTAGCTGAGGTTGGTTGTTGTGCTCTTCAGAACCCACAACAGCAGGGAGCTAAGGGAACATAATAGCCTCAGTCTTTTCAATCAGGACACTTCTGTTTGTCCTACTTGCTATAATAAAACGAAAAGGCATAACCATTAACTGTTTGATATCTGATACCATCAATGTTCTTCTTGCTTTAACAAGCTATGTTAGCATGGCTAGATTGCTATTACAAGCATGGGCCTTTTGACTAAAGACATCTCCCTGAGAATGATAATGGAAAACTTCTGCTTTGGGGGAAATGAAACACACCTAGGTTCTGAAAGCCCTGAAGTGTTTGGTCATTTGCAGGTACTGCTAAATATTAAGAATTAGGCTTAGAAACCGGTTAATATGTCTGCATGCCTTCCAGTTGACTTGTGATGTAGGCGCAACAAATAATTCTGTCCATAGGGAAAAATTAGTTCATGTTCTTCCTGAAAACAAATATGTACATGTGTTTTCATCAATGTGTTATTTTAAATAAGCCCTTCAAACAGTACAGAAAATGTAATTTCTGTATGAAAATGTCAAAAGAGAGCTAAGGGGAAGAAATCTAAGTGGTTTTCTTTTTGTGTCCTTGGGTGATGAAGGCTGGAAGTTGACAGTGAGATGATGAATCATCACTAGACTTGTTTAAATGTCCTGCTATCTTGGATTTTGTGGTGTACCTCAGAGTAATATGAGGGATTCTTACTGTCTGGGTTGTGATCTGATGTGTGTACTGTCTATTTTTACAGTCTGAATCGTGATCAGTTTAGTCTTGTATGACACTGCAAAAGCCTGGCTCCACAAAACTCCAGAAAGTTTCAGATGTGATACTCTGTTAGGTAACCAATTCTTGCAGAAATTTTGTAAGTGGAAAAAATCCATAGATTAAATACCTGTAGGGGTTACTGCAAAATTTTAAGTATTAAATCATAGAACAGCCCATGTTGGAAGTGACCTCGAAAGATCATCTGGTCCAGCCTTTCGTGGGAATGGGAGACTAGATGAGATTATCTAGCACCCTGTCCAGACACAAACTGAAAACCTCCCGTGACCCTGGGAAGGTTGTTCCAGTGAAGGATTATGCTGTAAAAAAAAAAAAAAATTCTTTCATATAAAGATGAAACCTTTCCCAGTGCAACAAGTATAAAGATAGCTGTGAAGTCCTGTACCTGGGATGAGGTAACCGCAGAGTCCAGGATAGGCTTGGGTCTGTGTGGCTGCGGAGCAGCCTTGCTGAAAGGGACCTGGGGACTCTGGTGGACAGCAAGCTGAGCATGAGCCAGCAGAGCACTGCTGCAGCAAAAAAGGCAAAGCGGATCCTGGGCTGCATCTGCAGGGGCATTGCCAGCACAGATGGAAATGTGACCATCCCACTCTACTCAGCGCTGCTCAGAATGCTGCTGGAGTGCTGCGTCCAGTTCTAGTCCCCACAATTCAAATTAAAACATTGAGATTTATATATATATTAAACCAAAACAAAATACACTATGTATGTCAAAATGTAAAAAGAGCAGCATTTCTACCATATGCAGTATAATTGTCCTGTTTAAGAAAGGGGTAGGCTTGGACCTGTCCCAGCCCTAAACACTACTTCAAAACAACTTCTTGTGTTTCCTTTTCTCCCTAAAGAAGGAGGAATTCCCCTAAGAGGAAAATTATTTTGAAATCACATCTTTCTAGCATTTTGTAGACTTGAGTTTTTCTGGCTTAAAAGTAGTCTTGGCTAAAACAAACTTCAGGAGTCTGTTTCTGAGTTATGGATAATAATCACTGTAGGAAAAATAGGATGGAACTTCAAAAGGTTGTGTAGTCCAGACAGACCTGAAGGAAGTTTTCAAATAGTCGCCCTTCCCTCTCCTAAGTTGTCTTGTTGATGTTTTCCTTGCATTGGGAACTGGTGATGTTTCATACATTTGTGAGTTAGGTTTGCAGGACTTTCATTACTCAGGTCTTGGCATAGCAAGTGTAAATGCTGTATTTTAGCAGAGGAAAGGAACTTGAAGCTAATTTCTGTCTTGCTTTTAGATAAATGTTTCTGGTTTGTTGTGTTCTGTTTGAAAAATGGAACATGGGCTGAGGGGAGAGGTACACCTACACTGCAGATATAGTGGAGGAGTCTGTTTAGGGTGATTGCTATGTAATTCCTGTAATGTGATTTTGGTTTTAACCTAATTTCTCACTGTCTGAAAACCCTGCTGGGCTTCTTGCCATGTTGCCGAATAATTGAAGCTCTGTTAAGCTGTAGAAAACTCTACCAACAGTAGCTGCACAACAAATGCATTTTAAACACTGTGGCTTTTTTTTGTTCTTGTTGATTTGCTAGCCCTTTCTGTGAGCCAGTCTGCCCGAAAAGTGATTCAGAACTAGAAGTTAAACCTGCTGAGAGCTTGCTCAGATCTGAATCTCACATGGAATGGACATGGGGAGGATTCCCAGAATCAACCAAGGTAAATTTATTTATTGTGTCTAACTTTGTGAACGGAGTTTTGGCATATCTGAAATTGTGTCCTAAGAGATTGGAAATCTGCTGCTGTTCTCAGAATGATTCAGCTGAAATAGGAAAGCAGCACCCCCTTGTGTCTGGCAGATAGTCGAATTTGTTGAGTTCAAAAGCTAGTCAGCAAAGTAATTCCAGAAAACTGGCAGTAAAAATTTGAATTTTTTTGATTTTTAGTTAGAAACTGACGAAAGCAACTTTAGAAATTAATTTCCTTTATCTTGGGTGAAGTTCTAGTTCATTCCAGAGGAATTGTAGCCTTGCTAGTGTAAATTTGGTATTTAACACGTACAGAAGCGCTGGTATGTCCACATTTATGCTTTTTTCTTGACATGGTTTGGTCAAGTCAGCACTTCCTCTATGCCAGTTTATTTACTGAACTTGTAAATAAGTTTGAAGCTTCTGTTGCTGGGAATTTTACTAATAAGGTGGGATGTGTTTTATGTTGCTAAAACACGTTTACATTCTCACCTGGTTTACTTGTGACCAGGACTTGTACCAGGAGTACAAGTTTAATGTTTAGAACAGAACAAAACAAACATGTGAAGTGAAAGGATTAACCAGAGTGTTTTTCAGATAAGCAAGAAAGAGAAACTGGAACATCCCAGAACAGCTACCATTACTCCATCGGAGAAGACTCATTTTAGGGTCATCCTCAGCTCTGATGAAGTTGAAGATGATGATGATGTGAAAGATTCTGTCTGTACAGTACTGAAACCTGAGCCAAGAACTCATCCTCTGCTTAAGCAGATGGATGTTAAAGATTCTCTTGCTTCTGCAATCGTAGAACCGCAAGACCCATTGCCATTAGATGCTGATCATCATTCCAGACTGTTGGTGGACCCTTTACCAGAAACAAAGCCAACAGCAAAAGTTGACTCCCCTTCAAAAAAGAAAGGTATGTAATAAAATTGATTGTTTTCCTCATTGTGATCTACCAAATTTGAGGCCATAGTGGAAAAAGTATAAATGTAATTTTTTTTTCAATTTTTGCTATGTGAAGTGTTATCTGACTAAAATGATAATTAAACTCTTGGATTTATAAATGCTACAAGTAAGTCTGAATCTTCCACAACTATGTTTTTTTTAATGTGTCTGGATAGCTTCATCTTAGTAATCTTAATTGTGAAAATTAACAGGGGTCCACAAGCGAAGTCATCATCAGGGGCCTGACGATATTTACTTGGAGGACCTAAAGGCTTTGGAACCTGAAGTTGCAGCACTTTACTTTCCCAAAAGGTAGTTTTGAATTAAGGTTCTGTGGATCTAGGGTTATATTGCAATTGCACTATGTGAGTTATTACCTGTATGATTTAGTGTTTATGTGCCAGTTCTGATAAAAATAATTTGATTTCAGGTTTCTAGGCTTTTGTGGAGTAATCACTACTGATCTTACTGTGAAAATCTAGTTCTGATTTGACAAAAAACACATTGAAAGATCATGTGGAGGTCTTTACTGAGAGTTTTCATCTTTGCAGAATGTGTACGTTCTGCAAATACAGACAGGGGGAAAGTTTAAACTGCACACTCCTTTTGCACCAGTACTCTAGTTTGCCATATTGCTAGCCCTAGATAAGCACACCTTGAGTTTATTTTTTGCATGCCCTGTACCTCCCTTCCAACATTTTTTTAATCAGTATCAAAAAAGACCAACAAAAAAAATTCCATGACATAGTCATGCAAGGCAGCTCAGTCTCAAAATTCACTTTTGCTTGTTTTTTTATGAAATCAAGCATTTTATACTCCTAAAATACTCTCCAAAAGAATAAATGTCTAGGAAGACTTCTGTAAAAATACATCTTCATAAGGAAAAAGTGTTTGTTAGTTCATGTTAGAACTAAAATTCTAAACTTTTCAGTACCTACTGATTACATTACTTGGCATCAACTACTAACTCTAATCTTAGATGACAATGCAATATTTTTTTGTACTTCTCCGAAACCTACAGTGTTCTAAAAACATTAAACAATGTCATTTTTCATTTTATTTGTATTCTACAGCTTTCTAGTAAAGATTGAGGGACATAGTATTGTTCTGCAAAAATAGAATGTTGAGGATCTTTTCCTCATTTTAATCCAATTTTGTTGCAGGCAAGAAAAATGTGATTATTTCCCAATTAGGTGAATGTTGGGAGAACTGGAAACTGTCAACCTGCCAGTATTATGAAGGGTTGGGCCGGGTGTTTGTGTCTGTTTTTTGTTTAGTTGGTTTTAAATGTATGTTGCGAAATAATGTATGAAAAAATGAAATAATAATCTTAAAAGAAATGCAACAGCAACATGATTTTTGTTTGAGTAATCGTGTGTTCTGTAACCTAAAATCTGTCCAATTTCTTGCAAGTGAAATACTTACAGGAAATGTGGTCTTCTTTTCTTTAGTGATTCTGATCCAGGCTTCAGGCAGTGGACAGTGTCAGACACGCTTTCTGGTTCCCAGTCGCCCCAATCAGTGGGCAGTGCTGCTGCTGATAGTGGTACAGAGTGCTTGTCTGATTCTGCTATGGACCTGCCTGATGTTACGCTTTCACTTTGTGGAGGTCTCAATGAAAATGGAGAGATTTCTAAAGGTATGTGAAAGACTAAAATATAAACAGTAATAAAGCTCAGGCAACTAAACACATGAAGTGGCTCAGATGCTCTGATTTCCACTTTACAAAGCTTTGGCTTATTATTGTGCTCCTGTTGAGAAAAGAAAATTCTCATCGATTTGCCAAGCAGAGATAGCAGAATTTAACCTCAAATTAATCAAGGGCACTTGATGTCTTGAAGCTTTCCATCTCCTTTTTTGCACTACATATTGCATATCTGACCAACCACTTTTGTTTCTGGCTGCAATTGCATGCTTAGTCCTATATAAATCTTCACAATTTGTATTTTTTCCAATTGCCTGATAATTTTTCTTTTTTTTACGTTTTTTTAAGTGGTTAGAAAAGTTTTTGACTATAGTGTTGGACTATCTTTTCTCATGTTCTGCTTTTCCTATCCTAAAAGTTTAACCCGGAGCTTTATTACCAGTTGATTCTTCTGTCTTAATGCTCTGGTTAGTTTTAATATTGAAGTCGTATGCATTTTTGAGGGAGCTTCTAGGAGCACATAATTTTCATGAACTGCTACGGTTTTAGTATTTTTTTTTTTTTTAAATGGTCATCCAGTCTCTAATGCGTTAAGTGAAATTGAATTGCTTATTAATAAAGGCTCAGAACAGCTCTTTCGATAAAGTGGTAGTAATATTGGATGTGATTCAAAAAAAACTACGTCTTCCTTGCAGGGGTCTTGCACTGAATCATGATTTTCTGCAAACCTGTATAGTCACTAGTCATGAAAGTGCGATTAACAGTCGGTGACTAAAAAAAACCCTGAAAAGCTGACAACATGCCTCCCCCTCCACTTTTAGGGTAGTATGTAGGTCCCTTAGCTGCCATAATAACTTTTAAAGAAAACTTAGACAAGTATGGCTCTCTTTTCCAGCCTGCAAACTGAATTAGTTCCTACCTCCTCCTTATCCTCTCTTCTAATTTCTTAATTTTCATTACTGTGACTGTTGAAGTAAGTGGTATGAAGCTTTCCCTGTTACTGAGGATTCAGTCACAAGACTCTTGACAGGTAGGCCATATTGGCAAATCTTGAGTGATATTGTAAGATCAGCAAAGACTCTGAAATGACAGAAAGCATTTTCCTAGATACAAACTAACCAGACATCTTGGGATTTTGTATTATTTTTAATTAAAATCTGCTTCTATTGCAGAAAAATTCATGGAGCATATTATTACTTATCATGAATTTGCTGAAAACCCTGGACTCATAGACAATCCTAATTTGGTAATAAGGATTTATAACAGGTAAACTCTCTATAGTGTGTAATTAGATCATAGAAGATCTCATTTAAAAGCTTCCCTTTAAAGCGAGTGCATTTCTCAGCTTCCATTGCAATTTGTGTTTTTGATGGATCTGTTTCTCAGTCTCAGAGAGAATGATTTTTGAACTGAAGATTTGTATTAAATGTAGCTTTAACTGAAGTGAGGGAGTTCTTTCAGCAATTACCACTGATGTTGAATTGTATATATTAAAATAACTCTGCTTGCAGAAAACTTTAATATTAGTTGTTTACAGCAAATATGTATTTTCATCAACAAAAGGGCAGTTTGCAGACTGATATTTATTGACCTCTAATCAGGTTTTGTAATATCTTATCAATAACGTGTTTTAAAACAGGTATTATAACTGGGCATTGGCTGCTCCAATGATTCTGAGTTTGCAGGTCTTTCAGAAGAGCTTGCCCAAGGTAAATAGATGCATGTATACTTTTAAAAAAAGATTTTGTATATAATAACACATTATTATCTCTTTATTTTGTTTTTCTATACCAATTAAAAACACGTCTAATTTTTCAGGCTACTGTCGAGTCTTGGGTCAAAGAAAAGATGCCAAAGAAGTCTGGAAGGTGGTGGTTCTGGCGCAAGAGAGAAAGCATGACTAAACAGGTAACTGAGACCTATTTTGATTCTCTCTTCCCCCCGCCTTTCCTTAGCTGTTAAAAAAATTTAAAAGTTGTAATTTGTCAGAAGTGCCTCAGAACACTGCTCACATAGCTCTGTCACTGATTGCCAGCTGAGGGTTACTCAGTGTTGCAGTAGCTCTAGCTGCTTCTGTATATTTACTCTTAAATATTACATCTTTATTCACCATTACTAGTTGCTTCAACAAAATTTATTGTATTCATCTGTGGCATAGTATTCTTAAATTCATTATTCATCATATTATATCATTTATCATATCATTATTCAAAATACAGTATTCTTTCTTGTAAGCCATAAGCAGTTGTCAGAACTACTCTTCAGTCACTGCAGTATGTTTTAAGAATGTATACAGAAATAAACAAGTGCTGTGCTGCATAACAGATGTTATGCTGAGACACCCCATTTTAGACTAAATTAAGCTTTCTTTTGTGCCTTAAATTTACTTTCCTGCAAAAAAAGTGAATTTTATAAGCTTAGAGGTTGACAGCTCCTTTAATGCTAAATTCATCATGTTAAACTAGTAGTTCTCAACTTCAGGCATGCAGAGTTTTGTTTCCTGAAATAATAAAAAGCTTTGATGGAGCATTTATTCATAAGCATCCTTTTGCTGAATAATTTACAGAATGAGCAGTTTTGAGACTTAATATAGTTTATGTACTGTATTGTTAGCTGTTTGCTTAAGTGTGAACTATGAATTCACTTGGATCAGTTTAAAGTGCTTAAAATGTCAGTACATTTTTTATTGTTATGTTGCTTTAGATACCAGAGGCAAAAGAGGGGAAAACTGAGACGCAAAGAGCGAGTGAACTGCCAGCAGCTATAAAAGAGCAAGTTAATAGTAGGTGTGTTCCTGTCTGAAGACTATTTTGTGGACTGAATAGTGTCTTTTTTCTTTATTTTTTTTATTTTAATTTTTTTAATGAAGAATTCAGTAGGAATTTACTGTGGGAAGAAACATTTTCCTTTAGGTTACTGAAGAGAAACCTGACGTGTTTGGTGAACAATTCAGCAAAATAATGTGGCAGCTAACATTGCAGGAACTACAAATACACTACAATTATTTCCTAAATGCTATTGTGTTTACTTCTTAAATGATAACATAACTGACAGAACAACAAAGATATATGGTAACCTTTAACAGTGGGCCACCACTCTGTAAATGTAGTGGCATTGTTTCTGAGATATTGTTTGTAATTGGGGTTTTTTTGGTGTAAAAGCCTAATATTGTATGAATAATTTAAACTATATGCATTTTTTGGTAACATTAAATAATTGAAACAATAAAATAGCATTAATTACAGTGCACAAGTTGCCTAAGATTGTGGTTGAAAACTAGTAGTATTTAGCACAAAACTGTCCCAGTCTAGATAATTTATTATACATATTCATATTCTCCCATGATTTTACAAAGATACTTGTGTTGTTGGTGTCCTTAAGAAACTAAATATATTCGTGATTGAATACTGCAGAGGAATTAAATGCTGCTTTTAATCTTGAAATCTAATCATCAGAGAAATAAGTCTGTGAATAACCTTAAAAGCTGAGGTACTCCACTAACTTGCACCTACAGTTTAAGTTACATAGTCGCTGTAGCAACTTTTTTAAAACACAAAACACTGTTACTCATTCAGTATCCCTTTTCGCCTGCAGTTTCCCTACTTCATCAACACAGTGTTAGTAATCACTTGACCATGTGTCTTTACTAAACTCATCATGTGTGGAGCCAGCTAGTAATTGTAACATTTAGAGCTCCACCAATACTAGCATGCATTAGAAGTCTTATTTGCTTTTTGGCATATACTGGCTTTACCTGAGCATTCACTAGACCGTGGTCTTTGTTAATCTGTGCTATCAGGCTAGTAGCAAATCCCCAGCATCAGCAGAAATTACTCTTGCATAAGAATCTTACTCCATTAAAGAAGGATTTTCTGTAGCTTACATTTATTCTGGTTGATGTCATATTAGACCTCCAGAAGATGATTCTTCTAGTGATGAAACCTCACAGGAGTTGAAGGAATCCCTGAAAATAGATTCTGCCCCAGTAGAGCACCCAACCCATGGGAACATTACATCTTATAAGAAGTCACTTAGACTGTCTTCAGACCAAATAGTAAGTGGCATGTCTGTCTTGTACACAGGATGCTTCATAATTCCACTCTGTGTGGTTCTAAAAGTTGGACATTTTCTGCTTTTCAGAAATGGCATATAAATACATATCACAAAGTAAGAAATGATCGTTGGGTTACATTTCTAGCAGCAGAAAAAAAGAATGGTAGAATTTATAACTTAGAAAGGTATTTAAAGAATTTTCCAGTGCTAGTGTGGGCAGCTGTAGGGAATTTTTGATTTTTTTAAAAGTTTTCTTCCTGTTGTGTTTTTTAAGAATCTGTGGTTGGATTTAAAAATAATAATTTCTTACAAAGTTCTCTAGTTAAACTTCTATATTAAGATGTTGCCAAGGAAGTGACATTGACTTCCGCAGTTTGGATATCCTGGGATCTTACCACTTCAATAATGCACATTTAAATTGGCATGCAGTTTATTCATTGTAGACTAACAAGCTAGTTCTGCTACTGTCTAAATATCACAGAATGTTCAGGGTTGGAAGGGACCTCTGTGGGTCATCAAGTCCAAAAATATATGGTCTTTATCAGGGAAGAATTTTGAGGAAAGCATCCACTAAGTAGAAAATACTGTTGTGTACTGCAGCAAACTGGGATTTCCATTTGATACTACTGTAAGTCCACTGTAATGGCAAGAATTAAAGTACACCTGCTACAGTGCACCTGTAAGCAGCTGTTGGAGCTATGGACAAATACATGTACCCAGACTACAAAAGTGACTTTACCAGCAAAACTCTGCCAGTGTTAAATCATGGTTTGCTTTTTGATGAGTTAATCAAAATAGATGAGGAAGAATATATGAGTCATTTTTTGTAGCTTATTTATGATTCTAAAAATTTTATAGTGAGGGCAACTTACATTTTCAGTTATTTTGGTTGATCCCAAAGGCGAAGTTGAAGCTCAGAGATGGCCCTAATGATGTTGTATTTAGTATTACAACCCAGTATCAAGGGACTTGCCGTTGTGCGGGAACAATATATCTCTGGAACTGGAATGATAAAATCATCATATCAGACATTGATGGAACAATAACCAAGTAAGCATCACTGGCCTTTTTTCTTTTCTTTGATATTTTTATCTTTCCTTATTGATCCTGTCCTGCTTTTCAAAATAAGATAGACGTGGTTTAAGAAGACTACTACAGGATGTTCATTAACATAATGAAAAACACTTGTTGCAAGTACAAATTAAAATCAAAGCATTTACAGCAAACTAAAAATGCTCTTTTTAAGAATCATGCAATGGTGATAATGTTTACCAGTGACTGTTGCCCTTACAGTTAGACTTCTCCAGGTTTAGCAGCTGTAGCTTAACTTGGAGACTGACTTGTGCTGTATGGCCTCACTAATTGCTCTGCCTAGAGAAGTTACTGATTTTTTTTGAAATGGTTAGGGGCCTTCTGCAGGATATTTCTGTAAATACTCGTTATAAATATATATTCATTAGTAATTGTCGTTAACAAAACTCATATACTTAGTATCAGCTATCTCTAACTTTGCTTTTAGGTCTGATGCTTTAGGACAGATTCTTCCTCAGCTTGGCAAGGACTGGACCCATCAGGGCATTGCAAAACTCTATCATTCCATAAATGAGTGAGTATGTAAGCCCTGAAGCAATTAGGGTTTTCTGGAATTTGGGAATTACTGGGCAGGCAATTGGATTGTTGTTAATAATTATGCAATCTAGTACAATTTGTTGGTCTAAATGTTGGGAAGTGAGCTACTTCTGTCATTCACAAACAAAACAAAGTATTTTCCCCAGATGTATACATTTAGAGGAATTGAAGCCACCATTTTTATTAGTTCCCTTGTCAAAGGTTTGATTTTGCATTTTAGTTTTTAAAAACTGTCTGTAATACTGTAATACTGTTGTGACTACAAAAGAACCGTAATAGCAGTAATTTCTCAAACAGTCGTGTATATGTCTGTTTCCACCAACTCAGGTGAATTGCAGAGCCTATTACAAACACAATACAGTGCAAGTTCAAACTTAAGTAATGTCCTTCCGATGCATCAGTATTTTGTGTTCTAATGTGTTTGCTGCTAAACTCAAGTGAATGCTCCTTAGTAGAGATTTCATGTTCGGAAACAAGCCTAGTTAACAACTTGCCACTGCTACAAAGGCAAGGTTGGTGGCCTGGTATGTAAGCCGATGCAGTTCAGTAGAACAGTAAGTTGGCAAAAGGGCAATTTCCCCTTCCCCTCTCTGGGTTCGTCAGCTGAATGTGCTCACCTTGTGATCTACAAGAACCTGCAGAGGAGCCCACGCAACTGCAGGAGAGGAGGAAGGAGAGGAAAGATGTCTTCCCCCTTGCACAGGCGGTGAGGTGTTTGCTTAGTTCAAAAGTGTTGTGAACCACACCCTTATAAATGTACTGTTCATCTGGGAGGTATATAGACTTACAATATTTATGTCCAGTAACTTAAGGAAGAATAAGCCTACATTTTTTTCCTCCCCTTTCAGATTTGGTCCTTTGTTTAGCAAACTATTTTTCAAAAAATAGTGATGCCAGAAATAATACTTGCTACTGAGGTTCACAGGGTGATCAACTGTTAAACACTTCATTGTCCACTTGAAGTAATCAGCTTTTATCTTTGTTTTTAAGTTTAGTAGTCTTTCTTCCGCAAAAATATTTGGGGCCTTGGAATCTTTTGTTGACCTTCATGCTGTTACATAGAGCTAAGTTTCGTCTGTGGCCCCTTGTAGTCCATGGGAGATACAAAACAAATTTCAGGTTATTTGGTGCATAACAGAGGAGTAGTTTGGGAATTATTTGCCAAATAGAGTCAGGTTTTTGAAAATACATGTAAACACTCAAGCTTTTGTGCAGGCAGTAACTGTGTACAAATCTGTATAAAAGATGAACATACAAAGTCTACAGGATAAGTTTAGGGGCTTGATGAATGCTTTTTGTTATCAGTCCTTCACACTCTGATGCAGAAGCTGGATAAAACCAATGGCACTTATTTAAACGCAATTGAATCAGGAACAAGACCTGAGTTGATAATTCTTTTCTAGAAATGGCTAGAAGTTTCTGTACTGTTCCGCCCGTGCCATTGGGATGGCAGATATGACCAGAGGATACCTGCACTGGGTGAATGACAAAGGAACAATTCTCCCCAGGGGCCCTCTCATGCTGTCCCCCAGCAGTTTGTTTTCTGCCTTTCATAGGTAAGCATGTGGGATTCCGTACATCGGTTCACTCCCCATCTCGGAGAGAGAAGCAGATTAAAAAGATTTGGCATGCTGACCATTATAGCTGTGACCAAACGTTCCGCTCTGTGCTAGATTTGCTACTGAGACTTGATGTTCCTCTAATGATCATTTATAAGCTATTTGTTTTCTCTGAATTTCACTTGTAGAACACTTCTGTTTCTGTGGGCGTGTTAGAAGTGGCTACAAAACACAAAATACCAGTTACAGAACAGCTCACAAACTATCAGTAATAGAGCAGCTCAATTCCTCTTTTCTTCATTCTTCTAGTCCATGACTGATTACTATTAGGTTTTGCTTATATCAGTACAATTTTGTCTTTTCAAGTATATCTGCCAGGATTGTAGTCCAATGCTGCTACACAAGACAGAGGGAAAAGAAACAAAAGCTGGGGAATACAGACTGTCATACGAAATGGTCTGGCAATATTGGGAATGCTCCATATATGACTACTTAGAAAGCAATATGGAGTTCAGCTGAGGTTCAACTCTGCTAATCTTTTCGAACCAGCCATAGTCCCCCTGCTCTTGATGGGAAGAGCTAATAGTGGAAAAGTGTTTTTTGGTTTTGCTTGGGTTTTAGTAAAAACAACTGATTCATGGCTACCAATGGCAGTAACTTCCACTAAAGTCACTAGTAGGCCTTCCGCACTCTGTTGTCAGAGACAGGAGTCATAACAAGCTTATCTGTACTTGGTTAGGTTTTGTGATTCAGATGGTCATCTACAGTGAAAGCAGTTCTCATAGTGCTTTCACAGCTGGGAATTTCATCCCATTTACTTAGCCTGCACAGGGTTATTCACCTGTTGTTTACTGTGGATGTTGGAAAATAGCAAATGTTTTGTTGTCTCTTGTATCACTCTTGGAAAACCAAGGTATACCAATGTCTATATAACTACCTATGCTAGCAACAGGAAGCAACGACAATGTAAATATCAGATAAATGGGGGAAGGAGGATACTCTCTATCAAATCACGATGTAGAATTTGACTGTTGTAATTTTATTTTAGGGAAGTAATAGAAAAGAAGCCTGAAAAGTTCAAAATCGAATGTTTGAATGATATTAAGAATTTGTTTGCTCCCAGTAAACAGCCTTTCTATGCTGCTTTTGGAAACAGGCCCAATGTAAGTCTGTGCCTTTTTAATTGAAGCGTTAAAACACATGAAGTACTTGGGAACAAAAAGAAATCGGCTTTTCTTTTTGTGTCTATTTAAATTTGAATAGGGAAGTGGGACACTGGTGCTTTCATGGTTTGGTCAGGAAAACCCACAGGCAGATACCTTAAATAAAAGCTGCTAGAACTGCTTGTATGAGAAAAGTTATGAAGTTGTGTTAGTATTCTTGGGATTTTATTAAATATGTGCCACCTTTCCATATTATTTTTCAGCAGTTTTGACAGCTTTGTAACCTAAGGGTATTAATTCAGTGCTCCTCAGTCTTCAATCCTTTTTGCTATCATACGGTTCCTGTATTTTCCCTGCAGCTCAATGCTATCGTCATTGAACGAGGGGGGGGGGGGGGGAGGGGAAGGTGGTATTTTTAGAGGAATATTGTCGCAAGGAGTGGTATTGTGTGGCGTAGACTTTGTGCGTGTTTGTGGTCCTAGGCTTGGGAACAGGAACTTAGCATCTGGGGACGGGGGGAATGTTTTGTTGTGGTCTGTGTGTGTTTTGGGTTTTTTTTTGTTTTTTGCTGTTGTTTTTAGGGTTGTTTTTTTTTTTTAAGGGGTCAGCTTTTCTCATTCCTTCAAGAAATTGTTCATTATATCACATTCAGTAAGGAAATATTGAAGCATGTGCTTTTGTTCATACTTCTTGCAGGATGTATATGCCTACATGCAAGTGGGAGTTCCAGATTGCAGAATATTTACTGTGAATCCAAAGGGTGAACTGATCCAAGAACGAACTAAGGGAAACAAATCTTCGTAAGATCATTTCTGTTATTTCAGCTAAAGAGAGTATTTAGGAATGAGATTACAAAATAATTGCATTTGTGACCATGACGATTCGATCTCCTATTACATATGCCACGTGAAAATGACTGAAACTTTCTGAAAAGAAAAATAAACTGGCAAAACAAAATTGAAAATTGCTTCTGCAGTAGTGCTGCCTGATTTGACTAAAGCTTTCTGGTCCAGACTTTTAAAGTTCCTTTCTGGCTACAAGTGAACAGTGAGTAGACTGTTAAATAATGGTCTTTCTTCTTTTTTCATATAGGTATTACAGACTAAGTGAGCTTGTGGAACATGTGTTCCCATTGCTTAATAAAGAACAGAGTTCTGCATTTCCATGCCCAGAATTCAGCTCCTTTTGCTATTGGAGAGACCCTCTTCCTAACCTTAACATGGATGACCTGGCCTGAAAAATACTTACCAACCTGGAGATGGAATTTCATATTCAGCTACTCAACTTCAATTTAAATGTGAAGAATGTTCTTAACGAAGTTGCTAACTTATATACTGGTACTATAAGTCTTACTAAAGAAATCACTTTAACTCTGTTGGTTTAAAACAAAGAAAATGCAAAGCTACTGTCTGTTTTTGTGTGTGGAGTTTCTTTTTGTTTGTTTGTTTCTTTCTTTATCACTTGTCTTTATATATAATCTGTTCTAAGGCACTTGAGATTGGCCTGTCATTGGTGGTCATGGTACCCAAGTGCTTCAGGACGACTAAATGCTGAGGTAAACTATGACTTTGCATTTTCGTCAATACAGACCTTATTGTAAACAGACTTTTTTTTTAATTAGTCTTAATAGTATATTTTCCAAAATGAAGCCAAAAAGTGTATGGAAACTGCCAAATAGAATGTCAGACCTACTAATAAAAAATGGGGGTCTAATGTTCAGATGGGCAATTAGACTGTTTTTGAAAGGAGCCAGAACCTAAGACCCGTGTGCTCTTTCTCAGCTAAATACAGAAAATGTGTAGACATTACTAGCCTGTCAGACTCTGAAGACCTAAAATTCCTCTTTCAATGTAAATATGCCTTTTGTTAATGTACAAGACTGTGCTTGTACAATTCACGCTCCAACTAACTTTGCATATTACTTTTTTTTACATGCAATGTTTGAACTATTTCTTCAGCTTGTTAAAATGGAAGTTGTCTTTCAGGCTGCACTATGTCATGTTAAATCTCTTTCAAGAAAAATCTTGAACATTTCTGTAAGAGTTGGGGAGCTGGCATTTTTATTTCCTTTTTCAACACAGAGATGATGCGTATGTGTGTGCTGTGTAGGCCAGTAAAATGTATGTACAGATTATATTCAGGGAATTGTAATACTAAAAAAAAACCTATGTATTTAATTTTTTCATTGTCTACTGCAGGTCCTTCCAGAATTCTGTATTGCAGGTTTTCAATAGCTGGAAAGAAATGCAGCTCAATAGTGAGATTCCAGGTATGAGAATGGTTAAATGCTGCAGAGCAGAATAAAACCTTTTTTTTTTTCTTTTCCCTTTTTTCCCTTTTTTTACCTTTTTCCCTTTTTTCTTTTTTCCTTTTTTTGTTTTTTTTTTTTTTTTTTGTTTTGGGTTGTTCACAAACATCATGCTGGTCATTCCTCAGGTTCAGATCAGAGCCTGTGAACAAATTGCATTCCAAGTCTGGTGTTCATCAGCTGGAAAAGCAGCTGGTATTTCTTTCTCCAGAAACACTTGAAGGCAAAGGTAGTTCTGCTTTCTGAGTTGAGTTAGTGCATTTAACCTCCTTTGGACAGATCTATGGTGAGAGCGTATCATTCCACCAGCCCAGAGGGCTTAAGGACTACAGTCACTTAAACATCAGTCCTGGGCTTTCTGGGCACACAGTCTTTTCTGTCACTCCTTAAGCAAGTTCCTGGGGCCATGCATTGAAGATCCTTCCAGGGAAATCATCCAGCATCTCCACCCAGCGCCAGGGTGAGCTCTCCCCATATGCAGCTCCCAGTGGGAGCAGGGACGTGTGCAGGGAAGCGTGAGTGACCTTTTGAAGGCGTTCGTGACCTTTAGAAGGTGTTTGTGTGGCCACCTTGCTGCGGTGCTGGCACCGGGGCTGCTCTTCCCAGGAACAGTTTGGGCAGGCCTTTTGGCTTCAGCTTACATGGGCTGAGCGTGGGAAAGGAGCTCTCTGTGCTTCGCTACCTGCAAGGGAGCAACTTCGGAGGATTTTAAACCACACCACCCCAGAGTATTTTCTTTCCTTTATCAGGCTGAGTAGTCTTTACCCACAGTTCTGATGTAACACCAGCTACCACTAGGCAACTGGTGAACTGCTTGGGGGGATCATTTTTAGATCACCATACAAATGAAATTACTTTTTTCCCTCCTTTATAAAACTCTAGCGTATTCCTGTGTTTATAAAACATTAAGTAAAGAGTGGGGCCAAGCAAAATCAACATGGAACCTCTTTCAAAGCAGGAGTAAGAGTGGGAAAGAAAACATACCCGTCACGGTGTGCCACACATGTCAGTGAATTGAAAGGCATCCTTGTTCATGTACAGTGAGAACAATACTTTCTGTGACTATTTGGGCAAATTCTTGATCCTGCCACCGATGCAGTCACCACAGTTTACGTGGGTTTCACGGGATTCAACTCAACGGACATTTTGCTCTTGCTGCTTTGTTTCCTTTTTTTTTTTTTTTAACTGTCAGAAGGTTACAAGCATCATTCCATATTTTTTTCCTTTATCTTACCTTTTATTCCATAGATTTCATTAGAAATGGAAATTTTTGTGATCACTAAGTGCTTTGAATATCAATGGGATTTGAGCTTTTAAGTCACTTAAATACTTAAAAATAGATAGATAAGAATCCAACATAATAAAGTATTTTAATTACAAGATTATATATTCTATCTAAAGATTCTATTTTACATAAAAGGAGTGAAGCTGCCTCTCCTAAAACAGTTCTTTGTAGATGTCAAGATTTTCTTTACCATGCTTAACTTTCTCTTAGTGGCCCTGGTATTACACAGGTTTTCTAAAAATAAAAGCACTTGATGCAACTGGGATGGGTTTCCAAATGGGACAGATTGTTACCAACGTTTGGCTGTATCTTGCTTGGTTGACATTTTACTTGGTTAATTTTTTCTCTCTGGTTCCATTCATTTTGTCAGATTGTCATAAGTCGTGGATTTTAAGGTGGGGACTTGAGTAAAAGAGCAGTGTGGAAACATACTATCAGGTGTATCTCCAAATGCATGTAACTTGAGCTGGTAGGCACGTGGGAGTTGTGTGGTTGTAGAGAGCTCCTCCTCCTGCTAACCTGTTACTTTGCATTATAGGGAGGTGCAAAAAGTTGCTTAGCTAAAAACTTTGCTTTTTTGCTTTGTAACAGCTACAGTTTTGATATTTGTTTTTCTGATAAAGCGTAAAAGTGTTCTTGAGTATTTCTGATACCTGTAGGGCAGGGGTTTTGTTTTGTTTTCTAAATCTGGCTTGTATCTGAAGCTTTTCAGATAGTTTGTTAACCCTCTTTAGGGACAGGATATGGGGGCACTGTACCTGCCATTGCATACCGGTGTAATTTGGACTGCTGGGCACTTTACTGACTCTGGAAAAGACATCTCACTACTATGAAACTGTGGGCTTGTGCTGCAATATTAATAGGAAGTGGGTTAAATAAGAATTATGCATTAGCCTGTCCTTTATTACCTTAGTCGAGAGAAGTGGCCTGAAACTAATGTTTGAGAACAAGTTGTGCTATATTTACTTAAAATTAGTGCAAGCTAAATCATTCTTTCTGTGAAAGAGGAACTTCTAAGTGTGCGTGTGTGTCCGTAGGCGCATGCACACCCCTGTTAAGACTGTGTTGTTGAAGATGCAGATCCTCTTAGCATTGGAACCATGTCAGGTCTCGTTGACTCAGCCTCTGTCTGGGAATGAATAAGGAACATTGCAATTCAAAACTTGTAAGTGGCTTGGACATTACTCGTTTCTGTAACTATTTAAAGATCAGTAACTTCAGTGGTACACATTTCTGGATTTTTTTTTTTTTTTTTTTTTTTTACTTGTACCAAGAATGTTTGTAATCCAAAAAAAAATTGTAAACTTCGGGTGTTACCTTTTTTGAGTTTTTTTTTTTTTTTTTTTTTTTAACTGTACCAAGCATGTTTGTACTCCAAAAGGTTGGGCTCTTACCCTAACAGTATACAATTGCATCTGCAGTCTTGGCTCACGTATCCTTAGCTTCCCATCATCGTATACTCCTTTCAAAACTCTTTTTGAACTGGAAAAGTTTTAACACTTGTGTCAACTCCTTTACAGAACTTCTGAAGCAAACTCTGAATCTGCTTACGGTAAAGACAAGAGAGATGAGATTTCGTGTTAATATTTCATACAAGTCTTCTAGAAAATGCTGTCATATGAATGAGAGTTGTTTAAATGACTGTAATGCAAGTTCATAATGAAACATAAAAAATACATAGTGAATTTGAGATGCCTTTAATGTGTCACTTTTGCCTGAAGAAGTTTTAGTTTTTAAATTCTGCTGAATAGAATGGAATTGTTTTGGATTTTTTTTCAGCGTTAATTACTTCCAGATGAAAGTTAAAACATTGGCTTATTTTGAGGGTGGGAAAACTCTTCAATCACTTGTTTCATTTTTATGTTGAAGATGTGGAATATTTGTTAAGCAACTCAATCACTAATAAGGTAGTGTGTTTAAAATTGTCAAATCTGTGATCATACCAGTACAGTGGTTTTTGTTAAGACTGGACTATCTTGGGTACAGTAACCCACACTTCAGTGCAATGTTTATTGATGTTCAGAACAATGTTACCACAATAAACAAACTTAAACTAAAATTTTTCTTTACTTTGTACTTGGGAACTCCATCCTTGTGTTGCTAACTTAGTAAATGTGGGGTTATATAAATTGGATTCATATTTTACATGGAATTCAAGTTGCTCTCATAAGGACTATGTACATTTGCTTTCTCTTACACTTGGTTTACTGTTTTCAGAGTATTTGTATGACTGATAAATAACTGCTGTCATCAAACTTATGTTGTGTGCCAGTACCAATACTGGGTTATAATGAAAAGCAAACATGCATTAATAATACAGAATATCAGGTAACAGATGCACGGCTTGGGAATACACAAGCTGCCTTGGATAAAATCTTGCAGCGGCAGAGTTTGAGCTCTTGTAAATCTGCCCTAATTTGGAGTTTTATCCTAATTCCACCCAAGTTTACATCTTCCTTTCAAGGCAGAGTATTGTCTTACCTGACAGCTGTTAAATTGCGTGAGGCAATTGAGACCATTGTGAAAAAGGGGCCTCAAGCTTTCATTAGAAACTTAACTCTTCCTTGTGCCTTGCTGATTTTGGTAAATGCAACTAACTAGCAGTTTACCTTAGAAAATCCAACCGTCTCAGTCACATGTAAAAGCATGACCCATCTGCATCAAGGTGCAGACGTTGTGCCTTTTGCTCCTTCCGCTGCGTCTCATTTGTGTTGCTGCGCCCAGCACCCGCGTGCTTTCCTTGTGCCCAGACACAGAGCGTGCCCCTCGAGTTCCGTCAGCTCCTGCCTCAGCAGCTCTCCCCCTTTCTGCTGGGTTTCCCTCATGGTTCTGCTCACACGCTGCACCCTTCCCTTCGCACGCAGGGCATCTCGCTCCTCAGATCGTGCTCACTTCGGTGCCCGTCTGTCACACCAGGTCTCAGCCCTTGTTTGTTGGGTGCAGTGTGCCACTGGGCCAGTGCAAGCAGGGGCAGGGTGGTGTGTCCCATGTGTGCCAGAGGTTCAGATCTGTTGCAAAAACATCTCTCGGCTGGTGGTGTTTCTCCTGTGTCCGTCTTACCCTAATGGACACCTCCT